AGGGGGGAAATTTTATTCCTGAGGGGGGAAATTGGTTCCTGAGGGGGAAAATTTTATTCCTGAGGGGGGAAATTTTATTCCTGAGGGGGGAAATTTTATTCCTGAGGGGGAAAATTCGTTCCTGAGGGGGGAAATTCATTCCTGAGGGGGGAAATTTTATTCCTGAGGGGGGAAATTCATTCCTGAGGGGGGAAAATTTATTCCTGAGGGGGGAAATTCATTCCTGAGGGGGAAAATTTATTCCTGAGGGGGAAAATTCGTTCCTGAGGGGAGAAATTCATTCCTGAGGGGCAAAAGTCATTCCTGAAGGATGCAGAGGGACACCAATGGATCCATGAGCCCTGCAAAGCTCAGACCATGCCAGGAAATCCTCATTCCATTGCTCACTTTGGTTTATCAAGGGTTATTCCTAAATAAATCCTCAAAATCCTCCTCCAGTGTCCTTTTATTCCATTTTATCCCCTCTTTCCCATTGCAAATGTGAACTGGGGGATTTCTGCTGTGCTGGGACCCCCAGGTTTGAATCTTTGGATTTCTGTTGAAGCCCAAATTGTAGGATGTGATGTTTGGAATAATCCCAGTGTGAAATGAAACCATTTCTGTTTTCTCTGCCTTTTTTCAGGAGGGATTGATCACAGGAGAGATGGTGGAGATGCTTTTCTCAGATGACCCTGACCTCCAGTTAGCAACCACTCAGAAATTCAGGAAATTACTTTCCAAAGGTAAAAATAATTCATCCCTATCTAAGATCCAACAGAGATTTGTGCACAAAACTTTGCAGGTTGGGAGAAAAAAATATCCATAATTCAGAAACGTGATAATCTCTTGTATTACTGATGATTGCCAGTTGTGGTTTGTACAGAAAATGATTCTGCCCAGCTGCCCTGATGAGTTCAGCCCAATTTGAGATAATTTAATTAACACTTCAGGTTTGTTAGCCCTCTGTTCACTCCCTGACACTGCCTTGCTGTTTCAGAGCCAAATCCTCCAATAGATGAGGTGATAAACACTCAGGGAGTGGTGGAGAGGTTCGTGGAATTCCTGAAAAGAAGTGAAAATTGCACATTACAGGTAAAGGAGATTCTGTTATCAATTCTTCAGGGTGTGGAGCTGTTTATTCTGTGAACCCACAGGTGTTGTGAGGGGAAATTGATATTTTGAACCCCAAAATTTTGTGATCTGTGGTAGAAGACAAAACTGTAATGCTGTAATGCTCAGGAAAAAAAATAAATAGTAAATTGCTCCCAATTAAATTATTGGAAAAATAATTTAATTCTGACCAAAAAAAAATTTAATTCTGGCAAGAAAATAATTTCATTCTGGCAAAAGAATTAATTTCGTTCTGGCAAAAATCACCTAATTCAGCTGATTTTATTGTCTGTTTTTCTGAATCACACTTATTTTATTCCTTTATTTTTCTGGATCAAGCTGATTGTATTCCTTTATTTTTCTCAATCAGGCTGATTTTATTTATTTTGCTGGATCAGGCTGATTTTATTCCTTTATTTTT